CACACACACACACACACACACACACACACACACACACACAATAAGGATATTCCTGGCATGCTTCTCTTTGACAGCGACCTCCTGTGTGTTGATGGCCTTATTGATGCTGACAGCCTGAGAAGAGGAGAGGGAGGGCAGAGGTGAACAGAGGAGAGAAATGGAAAACACAAATCAGCGCACAGCTTTTCCCCACAAAGTTTACACAAAAAGAAATATTCAAAAAGTGTTTCATTTTAAAAGTTGACACCCTTCCACCTTTATCAAAGCTGTCTTCACATAGGGAACTAAAAGCGGCAAAGTTTTTTTTTAGTAGAACTTGATTGACCTATTTTCTGCAGAGTTAGTATTCAAGGCAGCAGCTGAGACGCCCGAGCTCCTCTCTCTCTGCTTTTGAGGGAACTCTACGGAGGCAAACATCTGTCTCATCAAGCGACACATGTGTCCTCACATCTCTCTTTACCCACCTGCAAAAACACAGTCACTTCCTTAAATTAGAGAGACGCGACAGTGCATGTTAAGTGTATGTAAGAGGGCAGGTGGTTATTTAGATTCATCTTCTTAATATCTCTCGAACACTTCATAAAAAAGAAAAGAATACAAACAATCGTGTATGTTATCTAGAGAGTGTGGACAGAAAGCAAGCACTGAAACAAACAGACTTGAGCCTGCATTCACATTTCTGAGGAACAAGTTTCTGTAAGACGAAATGAGATAACACCAACAGTTACTGACGAGTAGATGATCAGTGGAGTATCTGTCTGTGCTGTGACATCGACTGAGGAATGATGGCCAGGCTAAAAATGAACCCCCCTCCAACTTACTTCAGCTCACATTAAAGTATCATCTAACTCGCTTTACAGAAACACCGGAGTTATACGTCGTGCATCTTGCAGGCCGACACAGTTAAGGATTCACATGCACAGTAGTTTCGATGGTAGTGTTGACAGTGAGTCTCCCACCAGTGATAGTCTTTTCATTTATTGCGGAAGTTTATTCATTTGATAGGAAACAAGAGAAACGGTCTGGTTTATCATTAAACAAGACTTACAATGCTATGCTAGCAGCTCTGTGCTAACATGCTGACGTTAAGCCGATGTGGTTACCCTCAAATAGTGATGAGGAGCGGCCTACAGAGGTAAGTTCACTTCTTTCTAACTCCACAGCTCCACATTCTTTAATTTTCAAACTTGTAGTCGTCAGCCCCAACCGACGCTGACTCAAGTGTCATCACTTGAGGCAATTCATCAGATTTTGCACAGCTCCCTCTGAAGCCTTAAAAGGCTTCATAAAACTTTTTTTCCCAAATATGCAGTAGCGCTCCCCCAAGAGGATTCTACACATTTAATAACAATCCATCCAATAGTTGTTCAGACGTTTCACTAAAAACCACAACTGTCAACCTCACGTAGGTAATTGAGTAAAAGTCAGGGGCTCACTGAGGTCAGTAGGATTCATTCTCTGGGGAACGTGAACGTTTGTACAACATTTCATGGCCATCGATCCATAGCTTGTTGAGACATTTCAGTCCGGATCAAAGTGGAGAGCAGGTCGACTGACAGACATCTTTTGTCTTTACGTCCCATCGTGGTTATGTTAGGCAGCCAAACAGGAAAGCTGTATGATGAAATAAATATGGAAAATGTTCTTGCCATGAATTCCAGGCCCACATTGTTTGAGAGTTTAAGTCTCTTCAGATGCTTTTCAAAACAAGGTGTTCTGGAGCGACATCTGGCTGACATATCATGTTGCACATGAGAGGAAAATCAAACCAAGGAAACCATACATCTCAACTCAAAATGCTGAAAAAAGACAAAGCCCAACATGTCACTATGGTTTGCTTGGTAATCATGAACTGTGAGTGTGGTGTCTGGGGGTCAGCGGAGGACGGGGAGGCCTGTTTCATAATCTCACTTCCCACAGATGCCCTGAATCTGCTCCTCCTTTTCCAGTATGTGAGCTATCAAGACTGGAAGTCCACCGGGATGAATCACTGGAGGAGGAGGAGCCCCAAGGAGGGGTGGGGAGGGAAGGAGGCAGGAACGAAGGATGCAGGAACGAAGGATTCAGGAACGAAGAAGAGAAGAGGAGGAAGAACTTTGGAGCATTGGTAATTGTCCCCAGGCAGAGACAAACCCAACACACTCTGCAAAAATCATTAGTTCAATCTCTGAACCAGAACATCTGCATCTTTCTGTATCCTTAAATAAGCTAAACTTCTTATTTATGAACACAATACTCGAAAAACTAAACTGGGATTAGAGGAAAACAAGCTGGTACAAAATTCAGCTCCTGTCTTGCCTGAACAACAGTAGACAATAGACTATACTCTCCTCCTCCACACAGCACATCTGAATGACTTATCGCCAGCAAGTCGACAAACACGAGTCTTGTGTCCCCAGAAATCTAATTTACTATCAAGTCACAGGAGTGGTTCACTAAAGCAAAGTGAGGTCAGGAGGAGGAATGTGGAGCTGCCGGCTGCTTGTTTCAACATCATCCACCCGTCTGCGCTCGGCTCGTAATCCTGCCGATGACGAGGAGTGTGTGTGTCGTAAACACGACAACTGACCACGCTTCCACTCCCATCATTAAACATGCACAATGTTGATTAAACGTGAGCACCGGAGCTACAAGTGCAACACCTGTCTTATTGCATCAGCACATAACCTGAGCTAAGTGTGTGTGGGCACCGTAAAGTTCAAACACAGCAGGGCTTACACCATCCTGTCCAGGCTGTGCATACTAGAGCAGAAATAAGAGTGCGGTCTGTTTCCTCTGATCGAGACCACAGGCGAAAGGTCACAGAGTTAAATTTGAGCATCTGCTTGTGTGAGACGTTACACTTCCCGTTTCCGAATAAACAAACTAGAGTTTGCCAACCGAAATTGCAAACTCACACTTATTTCTTATCTCATCTTCATAGCTGGTAACATGAAACAACAGTGTTGCACTTTGAGCATTATTTACGCAGACAAGAAGCAATTACGAGAGGATGTTAATTGCGGTTCTGAAATTATTGGCAAAACACAGATCTCTTGCACAGCTTACTTCTGAACATAAAAAGGCATATAACATTATCAATCACACCACACGTGTCCTTTATGACCACTTTAAATTCATGCTGTTGGAGCTGCATTTCAGGTTGCCTGTGTGTAACAGTACAGGAGCCTTTGGACTTGCGAATAGTCGTAAGAGACTCTGAGTCTGCTTCCTTTATGTATAGATCGATAAATGCACTTTGCAGTTTTTGATATAATGCGTCTTTGTGGTGATGGACATTGTTTACTATCATATTTCTCAGTGTGAATGGATTAGTTTTGTGTTTGCAAACCTCAAAAATGCCTCAAACATGAAGTATTTATTCATTGAATTCAATTTGAACTGAATTAAAGATTTAACTTTGATAAAATCCACAGATTTTCTCTGGAGCTTTCAACCCAATTATGGGACCTAAGTATGGAACTTGGACCATAAGATGTGGTTGAAAGCTACAGAAAATACTAGTACGGTGGCCAGCGAGTGAAGTGATACTAGTATGTTCGAGGTCAAGAATGAACTATCACAATCACAACATTTAGCACTCTGTTGGCTCATTTGGTTATGCTGACCTTACTAAGCATAAAACACTGGTTCCTGTTATTGTCAAGTTTCATTCTCACTTTTAATAAAACATGGAGATAGTGGTGGTGCAAGTATTGTGACATACTAGCTCCGTTTCCATCCAATCCAGTGTATAGCGCAGCCTAAACGTTTTGCTTACACTCTGACCACATCTGCTTAGCATTACCATAGAGGGACTTTTGTGTCATTTCCTGTCACTGTTGTCAGTACAACGGTCACGCATTAAAAACAACACCAGGCTTTAACGGAAAACATTTCATGTTTGATATCAGCTGTTGGTTTAACGTAAATTTTGTCTTTTCTCTCACTTTCACCCAAATACTCAAGGGATGATGGAGAAACTCGCGGCGCAACTGGTTCCCACATGAGGATGACCCAATTAGCCCACAGTGAGACTTTGTACTTTGTGTTTGGGTTGAATGAGAGAGCCAGCTGCCTTGGACTCCTGGCATTGGCTGCTGGCATCGACGCATCAATGACCTATTAGCTCCTCGTTGAGCGGCCACGCTGACCAGCTGACAGAGCGAAACGATGAGAAACTAAATCAGAGGTGAGAAGCAGGTGATTACGAGGACGAGGAGCAAAGATCAGCCCCGGGGGAGGCCATCTTAAATTGGTTAATGTGGTCAGAAACCTCAACTTTTTTTCCTCCTGATCTTTCATGCTCGGGCCCTCCTTTCATCCTTCCCTTATTTTCAACACTACATCCACCAGTTATAACAAAGATTAAATCAATTACTCACCAGCCAAACTAAAGTAACTCCTTTTTGCATCTACAGAAACATCTTTTTTCTCTCCACAGCTTTCCTCTTTGAACAAAGTGTTATTGATGTTGAAAAGCATGTCAATTTAAAAGCCTGGCAAGCCCCAATCGGCCCTTGTGTAGAAAGCAGGGCATTGATATGCTGATCGTCGCCTGGCTGTGTCCACTGCATGGTCAGTGCACAGAGCCCGGAGGGAGGAAGCATCTTCTGCCTGCTAAATGAAACTGCCCTCAGCTCATCGACTCAATTCCCCGAGCCGACTCCTCCGACCGATTCGCGAGAGCGCGCGATTGATGCACGCCGTGGCAATTTTCAATTTCCCACGTTAGTCCCGGAGATATGTCATCGCGTCGTGGTCCCCCCCGCGGTGGTGGCTGGGAAAACGACAGCGTTCTTGGTTATTTTCGTCCCCGTTTTGTGGCACATTTCATGTCAGCGTTATCGATGAGACGAACCCGCAGCGAGTAGCGTTCCATCATGAGAAAAAAACGCCCGGAAAAAAAAACCTCACCGGGGCCAAATGAAAGGGGGCAGAGTAAATTCGGAAACACTTGTTGTTGGTGGATATAAATTCTCATGGTCGAGGGGATGCTTGTGGTGTCCTTGTGTGACCCGGATGATTTAGTGTGAGAGTGGAGTGATTAATCTGACTGACAGTACTGTGATTATATGACCCCACTCCTTTGGGTGTAGAGGGAGGAACACACATGATACTGTGCTGTGTTTTCA